GCTTATGGACGGTCCGGTGACCTCAAATAATAATTTCTCCCTTCGAAACCCCTTTTTTAACCATATATTATAAACATTCGTCTACCCGGATTTTCTCAAATTAACTCCTAATGTTATTTCTTTTCCATTGCATTTTTTTATTTTTATTTTTTATGTCTGTTGCTTGGTTTGCTTCCCAATTTTTTTATCATTAAAAAGCTATTTAAAAAAAAAAATTTGTGATCAACAAAGATACTTTAAAAAGCAATAAAATAAAACCGCTCCAAACAAAATGCAATTCTAAGAAAGGCCTACAACTGATTCTTGTTTACATTTGTGGGCCTTGATTGGGCCTCATAACTAGCCCACTTACATAACTAGATTTTATATGTGTTGAACTCTTAATAAAGTTACAGAAGAGTAAGAAGCCTAGTCAATAAATGTTAAATGCATTGAAATGAGTCTTTTAAAAACTATAAATAACAGTAAATTGATATGAATATTTTTTAAATATTAGTTTAAAACTTTTGTAGTTCAAATCTTGAATGATGATATATTTTAAGTATATTTATATTAATATTTTTTAAATGAATCAGAGCACAAGCTAACGAGTCGAGTCAGGGGTAGCTCAAGATCGGCTCGTTAGCTCATCGAGCCCGACTCACGAGCCATTTATCAAGCTGAGCTGAGCTGGCCCACGTGTAGGCTTGACTTACTTACACCCCTAACTAGATATTCTAATACATTTTTTTTTTTCTTTCAAAATATTATTAACTTATAAAATTTATAAATTAGGGAATGAAAATGTCATTTGTTTTGATTTCAGATGTGATAGCTTTTGACCGCAATTTTTTTACTTTTACAAGAACTTTTTGTACGAATAAGCTGCTATATAAAGCAATAAGAAAGCTATATCAAAAGAAGACTAAATCTACACATATTTATACTCATTAAAGCGAAGGTTCATATCATCCATAAAATATAATTTTATATTGCAATACTCTCCTATTATTATGATAAATTGAAAGATAAAGTTGTAGCATCTTAGCTATTTAATTAATTTTAGAACATTAGATTTTATTTTCACAACTCTTTTTTTTTTTTTTTTGTAAAAAAAGTAGAATTAGTCTAAAACTATTCAAAATAAATTGAATGATTCGAGTTGATAACTTCAACTATGATAAAATTTAATGACAAAGCCTAGACCAAATAATACAAAATAAATTGCCAAATTAATTTTTCTACTCTCATTACTTGGACCATCTCCAACTGAACTCCAAATGTGCGTAGCTTATAACGTCGTTCGGTCGCTCCAGTCGAACGTCAAATCTTCCGCCATTTACTTGCGGGTGAACAATGCGACACCAATATTGGCGTGACACTGTTCACATATGCTATTTTGCTCTCTCAACCGGAAAAACGCGCAAAAGAGAGAAGAATCGTTACATTCACAGAAGTACTTAAAATGCAGTTCGATTGGAGCAGCACCACGACATTTTGGAGTTTTGTTGTATTTTGCCGTGAAAAATGGAGTTCTCCGTTGGAGATGCCCTTAAACATTGACAATAACTTAAGAGCTATCGACCTAGCAAAATAAATTATTACATGAATATATGCTATTACGCAAAAACTTTTGTGATATGAATGTCTCAACAAAGGAGAAAAAATCACAAATTTGATTGATCCAATCATCAAAAGAGGTGAATGTTTATAATTATTAGGATTTAGGAATAGGAGTATTAAGAACAATTACACAAACAACAAATCTTCAAACATGACAATAAAATTGGTACCAACAACTACTATGAAGTCTTATAGTTTGCACAAAATTATTATGGAATAAAAAAAAAATTGTTGGATTTGCGAAAGAAAGTAAGAGAGTGTGGAAGGAAGTATTAGCGCGGGCTACAGAGGCTAGCTGCGAACAACAACAGAAACAACAATATTAATCCTTTATTCAACTATGTGTGGTCGGCTACATGAATCATGTTTTATTCATTGTGTTATGTTAAGAGTCAAATAAAAAAAAAAATAAGTGATTTTTGATATGTTGTATAACAAATCACCACATCATTGACTTTTTTTTGGAACGAGGGTAACTACTCGCTGCGTGCCACTCAAAAGGAGCGCTTGGCGGCGTAACTAATTCATCGGCGGAACCTAGCGAGGCTACCCACCGGCATCGGACCCACACTTGATTTGTCCCACTGAAGAGGCGCGGCTGGATAGAGGGGATTCGAACCCGAGATGAGGGGTTCCCAATTATGCTCGCCCACTAACCACCCTAAGGGCATCTCCAACTGAACTGCAACCGCTTGAATGGCGTCCATGACCAGCTCCAGCCAAACCGCAAATTTCCTGCTATTTGGCTGCGGGTGAGCAGTGAGACGCCAATATTGGCATTGCAATGTTCATCTCCGCCATTTTTACCTCTCTACCGAACTTGGCACTGGAAAGAAGAGAGGACCGTTACCTGCAAAAGTGGGAAAAGTGGAGTTCGATTGGAGATGAATCACGGCATTTTATAGTTTCACGACATTTTGAAGTGAAAAATGAGATTTTCAGTTGGAGATGCTCAAGGATTGCAGACATTTAATTTTGTATGCAAAATAAATTATTTTAAGAAACAGTAATAAAACTATAGCAAACAAAGTGATATACTATATATAAATATATTATATTATGTTCTGTGTTATTTGGGTCTGTGTAAGTACAGTTTGTTCAATTAATGAGTGAAAAAGTTTCCCATCGGCCATTAATAAATCTCTGTCTTCTATGCTGAGGTGATGGTCAAAAGCTTCTTTTCTACTTTTTGTGGTACAAAGAACAAACCCTAAAAAGTATTAGGCTATTAATGAAAAAGCTCCTTTACTTTTTTCTTAAAAAAAAACAATTTTATAAATATAATAAAAACAGCCATTAAAAAATATTTTAATAAAATGTTTGACTTATAAGAAGCAAAGCTTAAGTTGATTGCATCATTAAATATTAAAAATATTATTTTTTTCTACCATTTCATCATTTATAATGATTTATTTTCATATAAATAAAAAGTTTCTTAATGAGTTGGTTGCTACTTAGAGCTTATTTGAGACAGCTTTTGATTATTTTATTCTGTGTAATGTGACTATACTTTCGTTCGGCTACTATTTTCTTAATATCATTTAAAAACTTTTGCGTTTAGAATTTAATTTGTCTGACTAAGGCTTCGTTTGGGACGGCTTTTTTATTACTTTCTAAAAAACAGTTTTAGTACAAAATTTTTTAATTTTGTACTAAAACTCCGTTTTAGAAAGCAATAAAAAAGTCATCCTAAACGAAGTCTAAGATTTCGTTTGAGATAGCTCTTTTACTACTTCTTAAAGCTGCTTTTAAGAAGCAGTATAAAAATAGTCACAAACTAAGCCTACATTTTCTAATACATGGAGTTGTAAGAATGACCCTAAACTTTTCAAAGAAGAATATATTTGTAAAACCCAACTTTAAAAAAAATTATTTTCCCAATAATAGTTTCAAAATCATATTTACAAAAAACTATAATCGCTCCAAACATAACGTTAATCCAATCTTAAGCTTCATTAAATATGATTATAGCTTAATTCTATCTAATCTAGATTCAAGCTATGCATGTTACAAGTAAGAAAAAACATTAATACAAGTAGAGCAACTTAAAATTAATTTGATATAGATTAATTTTGAATTTTCAAAAATAAATTATTACTTCAACATATATATACATATATTCAGATCCAATATTTATTTTGCATTTTGAAATGCGAGGTCCTCTCGAGCGAATAAGATCGACAGAGAAGAAACTGAGGGACTAAACAGAGTGCTAGATATGATCCATTTAATATTTTAAAGCGACACAAGTAACTAACGAGTTTTAAGTATTAGATATGAAATTAAATATATTTTGAGTGATATGCAAATAAATCCTCCAAAAAATTAATATTTTGACACACTTTTAAGTGATTTAAAGACTTAAATGATATATATGTAAATATAAAAATTTACATGATTGTGATATAAATGTAAATCCTTACTTGAAATAACAATAAATACCTTTTTTATGATATATTCAGCATTTCCTACATAGACAGTGAGGCCTTAGCCTATCACAAATTGATAGGTAGGAGAAGATAATAAAGAGCAAATGTTTGTTTATGAAGCTGGAGGAGTATTATTGGGAATAGAAAAGATATGAAAGGAACATAAATCTCTCTCTCTCTCTCTCTCTCTATTATTGGGAACAGAGAAGATAAAAGAGTATTATTGGAAACATAATAGATAGAGAATCAGCCTGTGAATAAATACATCAGTAGCTAGTAGCTAGCAGACAAGTTGTTTTATAGGCTGGCAGATGATTGGGAACCCTCAACCCGTGTTCGGCATTGCTCTTAAATAGGGGAAATTATTGGGTTCAGACAACGGACGTGTTCAGAGCCCAATAAAAATGCACCACATCACCAACTACTCGGTATTGAGCAGTATCAAGCAGTACCAAGCTCGGTATGCTCAGTACCGAGCTCAGTACTGCTCGGTACTAAGTACTGTGAATACCGAACATAAGTTGTGTCCGGTGTCCGAACCCAATAATCCCTCCTTGAATGAGGTCCAATCAAGTATGAGCCAAAAGGTTTCTGAGGTGAGTGTCTCTTCTAGGTCAGTTGAGAATTAGTCATGCCGCCAAGCGCCCTTTCAAGAGTGGTAGGAGATGGATACCCATTAAAAAAAAAAAAGAGAATAAAATATTATATTTCTCAGTAAAATAAAATAGGATACTTGCTCAATTATCTATATAATAGTGATTTGTTTTAATATTTGGTTTGATTCAAATTTAGTGACTATAAAAGAAAAACATGTTGAATTATTGAATTTTATGTATTAGATAAATGTTTAAAATTTTAATAAAATTAAATATATTTTTTGAAGGAAAAATTATATGCATGCCACTTTCATTCATGCCATTTACGTATCTAATTCATAAAATTTTAATATTTCATGTTCACCCTCTATAGATCAAATACGAGTGCAAGAAATGAAATATTAAAATTTATAAGATAATATGAATGATAGGAATAAAATGTAAGCGAGACATATTTGATATGAAAGTTGGCTATAGGTGGTATGCCATGAAATATTAAAGATTTAAATATTAGATATATAAATCACATTATATGAAGTATTATGTATGTAAATCCTCTTTTTTTGAATATATGAGTGATATAATGTATTTCCCAAAGCGATGAAATTTATAGTCTTAACATTGAATGATAATTACAGTCTGCCACATAACATAATGAGTTAAGAGCAACTCCTATAAAACATGAAAATTTTTACGTAGAAAATTACGAAAATGAAAAATACCACAAAGTCTAGCATGGTATAAAATATAAATAATATCATTGATGTAAGTTGAGCATTACAACATATATCATACTTCTAAATTAAAAAGAAAAACATCAATATGGTATAAGATATAGTGTTTTTATTTTATTTATAGTGATAGTGTAAGAGATAATGTTGAAGATCTCTTGTAGTGAAATTAGGGTTCTTGGAGTGCTTGAGTTATTATCAAGCAATAGCGACCTAGTACTTTACTTAGGTCATGTTGAGATTACTAGGTTTAATTTTATTATTGGGGAACGAGGGTATCTATCAGCTTAGGAGGTGCTTCGTGGCATAACTAATCCATTGACGAGCCTATCAGCAATCAGCCCCACAGATACAGGACTTGTAGCTATTACTAGATTTAATTTGATATGTCTTAGCTCAGCTAGGTTAATGGATACCTAACTAGGCCATGTTTGACTAAACTTACCTTATCTAAAATTTATTTTATTTTCCTTATCTTGACTTAGAATGTCTACATTAGTCTAGTCCAATAGAACCTAAGCTATAATTTACTTTGACTTTTTAAAGCTTGGCTTATCATGACTTCACTTGACTTTGCATGGATTGCTTTGACTTATCATAACCTTATATATAATCAAAATTAAGAAGATAATATCATTTTAATCCATTAAAGCCTCCTAGAAAAGCTAATCAACTTCTCATAACTCTTCTAGACTACAATCATTCTCTTATATTCAAACTTCAAGCTTTTTTTTCACATGAACAAATACATTAAAATGTAAAATATTCAGCTAACAAGACTTTTACAAATATAAAATTACAAATTACAACATCACCCTCCCCCACATACTTTGCCATATTATCACTCAAGAATCAAGTTGGAATCTTTGGATTGAAAAACTCCAAAATTTCTAAATAAAGTAAAAATCAACAGTCTCAATTGAGAAAGATAAGGACGACGGCTTTATGGCAAAACACAGAAAAGGGGAAAAAGTTATCGGACTTGAAACAAAATAGAAGAGAACATGAATAGCCTTTCTTTCTTCCTTGACTACATTAACATACAAATAGACAGACAAACCCAGAGAGAGAAATAAGAGAGAGAAACAAGAGAGAGAAATAAGAGAGAGAAACAAGAGAGACAAACCCAGAGAGAGAAACAAGAGAGAGAAATAAGAGAGAGAAACAAGAGAGAGAAATAAGAGAGAGAGAGAGAGGCATTAATGGTGTTCACATTGCAGCAGAAACGCACTCAGCACACAAAAGAAGACTGTCTGTAGTAGCTTTGCTTCCCATCCCAGCGTGTAGATAATCTACTTGCTTGCCAACTGTTGGAGACAAGTTTGAATAATCACTTTATTCAAATTTAGTTCAAACACTATGACTTTATACATAACAGTTTTTTTTTTCTTCTAAAGACAATATAAGTTTTTTTTTTATGAGGTTACTTAGAATATTTTAGAATTAATCTCACTGCTTACTATCAACAAATAAATGAAATTGATACTAAAAGTTTAAAAATACTCACATGAAAGTTATTTTTTTAGCTAAAGAGATGACAGATTGACAATAAAATTAAAACTTTCTTACTGCTTAAAATATCTTTTTAGTATAAATATTTTAATTTTTGTACAAAGACAATTATTTAAGTACTGAGAAAGCCGTCCCAAACGAAGCCTAAAGCCTTGTTTGGGACAATTTTTTGTAACTATTTTTTCACCATTTTAAAGAAATTTTTATGCTAAAAAATCGTCTTAAAAAATAAAAAGAAAACTATTCCAACTGAAGCTAAAATTGATTCAGATTTAATCAATTAGGAGATAAAATAGAATACATGCAAAAAAAATTGAGGCTATGGCTTCATTTGAGACAACTTTCTCAGATCATAACCATAATTTTTATCTGACCACTATTTAAAGAAATTGTACTGAAAGCTGCTTTCTACAACTATTTAAAAAAATTATTTCCTTTATTTCATCTTTATAAAGCATTAAAAAAACTATCCCAAACAGAGCTTAAATTGAACACACTTTAGTCTAGGGACTATTTCAACTATTTATAGTTTAACAAAAATTAACTAAGATAAAACATTAGTTAATAATAGAAATAAATACAAATATTTACAGTAATATACCAATAAAACTCTAAACAAAATAGCAAATATATTTATTCATTCTCTCAAATTTTAATCTCTTGTTTTCAATTTCTAAGCCATTTCACATTTCTGACTGACCAATATTTTTTCTCAATAATGAAATGCATAAGCACATCATAGAGGAATGAACAATATGTGCATAAAATCTCAAATATTTGTGCCTGAAATATAGATATATGTAGATATATGGTGGTAAAGTAAATACAACACCAAAAACAAGCACCCAAGTTATACTACCCAAAGCAAAGCAATACTACAATTTTAAACCTCAGCTTCAGGTAACATTAAAACGAATTAACACAATACATTTGTGCTGGTTCATAAGTACCTGTGATTTGCAAGGAACTCAGCCCTGGAAGAAGCCATGGCTGGCGGCCGGAGGGTGGTGGAGGTGGGGATGGTAGAGGTGAGAGGCTGACGCCGATTGTGGCGGCTGGATCGAAGGGTTCGTTATTGTATTCGAGGCAGAGAATCCTGATGATGCTGCAGACGAGAAGAGCGGGAGGTGGGAGAGACTATGGAATTTCCAAGGCCAGCTTGTTGAGCCTGGCTCAGCCTTCTTGTTCAATGCATTTTCCTGTTAGAAGCAATATTTTATGTGAAAATACTAGCTTGGTTGATAGGTAATTAGTATTTATTAGATAGGTATTATGAATTAATGAGTTATTATATGTCATTATATTTTATAAATACTCTCCCTCAATTGTTATTGCCCTCTCTTCTTCCCCGATTTAACTTTTCTATGTTGTTTGGTAGCAGGATTTAGGCCAGATTTGTCGCCGTAGACAGAAAATTCTGCCTTTTCGAGCTAAATCCAAAATCCTGTTTTCTTCCGGATTTATGAAATTCATTGGCTCGAAAGGAATAGTCCGCGTTAAATCCCCTCTATAGCCAAAAACAGTCACACGGGATTTAATAGAATTTATCAAGAATGTTACCAAACAATTTTCAGGATTTCCAAAATACAAATTTAGAGGATTTAAGAAAACCTGCTTAAATCAAATCCTGGGTGCTAACAAACAACCCCTTAAAGTTTTAGATAAAGATCAAAGTTGTCTAATTCTCATATTTTATTTATTTATTTCGTTGTTAGGCTCATAACAGTTTCTTATGCATGTGGAGACATTTAGAAGAAGACAACTGATCGAATGGGCTAATAATTGTCTACAGAAAAGGCTCCAAGGTAAATTATTATATGTTCACTGTTGCTTTCATGCACGCAAATTGATTGATATCTGATAAGCACAGAGAATGCATTGACCTAGCTGTTAAAGATGCACATAAAGATGGCAATCTGGATGTCAGTAATCAATATTTGTTAGGAGAGTGGAGCATACGGGTCCCAAATTAAGTCTAATATATTGATAAGTGGACACCATCATTAAACTTATAAATTTAAGTCAGTGAAGAAGGACCACTAAAAAATCTATAATAAAGAACACAAATCTTGGTTTTTAATATTGATTTAGAGCTATTTTTCAAACAAATTTGTAGATCTTACAATCCCCCACAAATAAGGAGTCCTTTACATTATTAGTTATCACTCCATCAAATTAAAGCTTTTTTCCTTTTAAGAACATTATGTTTATGCAAAAAGAATTCTCTCAATCACAAGAAAAGAAGGCAATTATGACAGTAAAATCCCAAATAAGGTCAGCAAAATGTGTATGATTACCTCATTGATGGGGATGAATCCTGTATATACATTACTCCAGGCTCGAGGATGCTCGGGTGCCACAGCCAGGTGCTGTGTTTGAAGAGCTGAATTGGAAGAAGGTTGGTCGACCTGTAGGACAATAAAAGCAAAGCCAGAACCATTATCTCGAAGTTCAGCATAACTGGCTAAACTATTTGCCTTCTGTAAGGAAAAAAAAAATCAATATTCTAAATTTTATGTAAAGAAGGGGAACAACAAGGGTAAGTGAAAGTGGCACTGACGATACATTGATCAATCAATTTTCAGTGTCCTTAAGGAGAGATTATTCTGTGCGGACGCCGGACACAACTTACCGTCCAGAGGCGAATCAGTTGCAACCACGTCATCCAGTACCAAGCTCGATGCCGAACAGTATCGAGTCGTGGTACCGAATAGGAGGTGACGTGGCACATTTTCATTGGGCTTTGGACAAAGCCCGGCGTTCAGTGTCCGCACAAAATAATTCATCTCTTATAAGACATATAGAGAGCTAAAGTTTCAGTTAGAAAATCAAAGAAAGTTCTTACTAACTATGTTTGAAAAATGCAACTAAACTAAGGTGTAGAGAGATTCTGTTGGGAAATTCAAACATGTCAACAAACTAAAGCACGTAAACAAGTATGAATCAAGAAAATTACCTTCATTTTCTTGACATTAGAAGCTTCATATGGGCCACATTGGAATTGTAAACCCATTGGGTTAACATTTCTTTTCAAATTGCTGACAGAAGGCTGAGATATACTCAAGTTCAAATCAATGTCTTTGCCAAAAGCTGTTAATAGGAGTCAGATAATCAAACAATGTATTAGTCAACAACAGATTTATGCGATGACAAGGAATAACAATTTTCAATTTTCTACTAGAAATCAAATCAAACTATGTCAACACCTTCCACATCATCCTTGGAAAGAAGTTCTCCTTCATAAGTACTTGGTTCAAAATTGGTGACAGCTTCCCTTCCATTACACTTAATAGCAGCTTTATCGTAGGCCCTAATGACCAAAAAAAGGAAACTAGACAATTATTTTTGTCCAAGCAGCCTGGCAGAAGCTAAGGATCATATTAAGGCTTCGTTTGGGACGGCTTTCTTGCTTCTTTTTAAAGAAGTTTTCAAGTATTTTTGTACTAGAAAGTCATTTTAAGAAACATGAAGAGAGTTGTCCCAAACGAAGCCTAAAAATGCCAGTGATTGATAAAATTCAAAGCTCTAGCCAACCTTGCAGCTTCTACTTCGCTGTCATATAGCCCAAGATATATATACCTGCATGCAAACCATGGGATTTCATTGGTAAAAGTAGTATGCTTAAAACTTATGCCTTCTCAAAACAATCATGATGGTTAATAAGCAAATACCTACTGAAATATTAGTATTTGATCAGAGGTGATAATTCAAAATTCCCTAATTTATATATGGATTCTACGCTTCAACAACTAAGGTTTCGTTTGAGACGGCTTTCATAATGCTTCTTAAATATACTTTTTAGTATATAAATTTAAATTTTTGTATTAAAAAGCTACTTTAAGAAGCAGGAAGAAAGCAGTCCCAAATGAAGCCTAAAACTAAGGCAGTTATGTCCAGGAAAGCAGGTAAAAAGTCAAGATTGATGTATACAAATAAAATGATGAAAATATTAAGGTTAAGTCCCATACTTTTTGCCAAGTAACTGTCCCATGCGAGCTTCCCATCGACCACATTTGTGAAGAGTCACTCCTCTATATTTTGAGCTTCCTCTTGAAAATCCAGTACTTTGGCGACGAAGAATATGCACAAATTCCTCCTTGGTCAGATTTCTCATCTGAGAAATTTTGAGCAGAAACATCATAAGCCTATGATCTAAGGGGTTGCTTTACTACAAGTGGGATATAGTAAATCCTATGAATCAAGATTAACAAATTTTGAGGAGATTAAAACCTAAAATCTTTCAAACATGATAATGGTTAAATCTTATAATATACTGACAAGTTGTTTGGCTATTAGTTTCGGGATTTAAGATTTATAAATGAGAGAAATCTTTAAATTCATCAAATCTTGAGAACAGTGGAATTAACAAATCAGGAATTTAATCAATAATGGAGTTAAAACGAAACTATCAAAATAGTAAAATTAAAAATCTCCAAAGTACTATCTGATAGAATTTAAGCTGCAAATCTAACTTAGATCCTGCCAAAAATTAGGATAAATCAACTGACAAACCGACTAATTAGATAAGCATGTAACTCTTGCCTGCCTCAAATCGTCATCATAGTCACTGAGATTGAAATTGATGTCAGCATCAACTCCACGAAATTTAATGGCAGCCCGATCATATGCTCTGCAATTAAAAAAAATACAATTAGATTTTATTTCCATGAAACAGGCCATAGTAACATTAAGACAAATTTACCTGGCCGCAGCATGAGCAGTGTCAAAGCCCCCTGCAGAACAAATAAAAATTATAAAAAAGGTTTAAAACAAAAAGCAGAGAAAGATGAATTTAAATAGGATATATGATGCCTCGATTAAAAAAGAGTTTGTAGTCATCCAAAATTTCATTCAACTGATTCGAGTAAACAAAATGAACGAAGTAATCGTACCTAAATAGACTTGCTTCCCACAATCCCTAAGACCAAAAAAAAAGCTCAGCGACAAAAAAAAGCTAAAATATAAAACAAGAATGAAAGGGGGAATAAGCTGATGCATACCATATGTGAGATTCCCATCTTCCGGTTCTCCTGTAAAACGTGACTCCCCGATACTGAGAGCTGCGTGATCTCGGCCCCCTTCTACTCTTCTTCACCTGAGGCTGCTGTTGCTGGGGATTGAGAAGCTTAACCTCCCCCGTTGCCGACGCATCAGTCTGGTAGAAGCTGAGGTCTATCAAATGCGGCCTGGACGAAGATGACGCGAACGTAGTTCCAGTCCGCGGGCCATCTAAAATAGTTTGAGCCTGCGGTGGAAATAGCTGATGAGTGATCAAGTCAGCCTCCGAAGCAACACGGATTTCATCCCCGTACTCCTCTACCTCATCTGCATCCTTCAAGATACTGAACCTGAAAGCCGGGCGATTAGAACAAGAGTCCTCGTCACCGATGTTACTTAAGTCCTCAGCATTGAGAACAGAGGAGTTCGATGTCCCGGAATCGGTCATTTGAACTCCAACAGATCCTTCTGGCAGGAGCTTCTCCGGCACCGACGACGACTCGCAACCAGATGCCACGTTGAGATCTAGCACCATCTCTGAAACGCAGACTAACGCTCCCACAGCTTATAGACAATCCAACTAAGCTTGTTAAAACCGGTGTCAACGTTTCCTAATAGGGCTTCCTCGGCTATTTCCGGAAGAAAAGCCAGAGGAGGTAAAGATAGAAACACGAGAGAGCCGAATCGTTCTTACGGAACATTGGCCTTTACATCTCCAAGCATTTATTGCGAAGATGTGATATGCCTCCTCCCTCCACTCTGGACTTTCATCTTCTCCGTTATTGGCTATATTTCCTCTTCCTCTACAACAATAAACTAGAAAAGGGGCGGAACAGATAAAAATCCTCTCCGATCGGCAATCGTGGACGAAGAAAGTAGCAGCAATAACGAAGCATCCACGGCTAAAAAGAAAGAAACAAGTGACAAGAAAAGCTAAGGGGAATCAAAGAAGCTTGCAGGCAATAAGTGGACGTGACAGTTAGATTTGACTATCTCCGTCGAGGTGAAGTTCGCCGGCGGCGAAGAGTAGCGTTAAGGATCGAGGTAGGAGAAGCCGAAGAGGAAAGAGAGCTGATGGGACGAATAAAAGCAGCGAGAGATGCGCTTATAGAGGGATAGCTCGCCCCCAAAATAATTCGAAATTTAATAATTAATATTAATAATTAATTGAGGGGGAAAAAAACGTTAGGGTAATTAGAAAATTACGGGCTTTTGTCTGCTACTATAGGTGCTTCCGTATGGATCTACCGCCAGTGGGAGTGTTCCAAAATTAGGGTTATTTTGTAGGAGCTATATGTGGGTTCATATTTAGGGGATTTATAATATATATGTATATTATATACTATATTGGTATTTTAGTCATATATGCATAAAAATATATATTGTATTTTAAATTTTAATATTAATAATATCTTTTGCTGTGATTTAAAATTATATTTATCTTATTTTACATTAAGGTGTAACAGCGTTGATATAATGTGTCACACTCTATCAAGGCTGCCACACTCTATTTTAACATAGCATTAATAAAAATGCTAAATTTATTTTTTTAGTATTTCCCTAGATAGAGTGTGGCAGCTTTGATATATTTATGGATGCTCTTAATTGTGAAAAATAATCATCTTCAGAGACCAACAGAGTTAGCATATGCATCGGGAAGTTTGAGAGGGGGGGGGGGGATTAGGACATTATTATGATTATATTACTAATTAGGGCATAAAAAATTCATAATGTATAAATGATACACAAGAATCATAGTGGTTAGTTTAAATGATGTATATAGAGAAAATATCCACTATTCAAAAGAATTGAATACAATATGCAAGCTTAGTAGTTACAAGAAAGATTTTATTATAGGAATAAGAGAGATTAGAAAGATTGATTGATTCATTCATTCATTCATATTGTAAGATAGATTGATTCATATATGAGAGAGACTACTAACATTTTATGACTCTTATTGTAAGATAGATTGATTCATTCATTCATACTCTTTTCTTCTTTATTAAGTTGGAAAGGAGAAAAAAAAGGATTATAGTGGAATAAATAAGAAACTACATAGGTTGAAATGCACACTATTATAAAGTCATCCTTTTATTTATTATGAGATGAGGGAGATGTCCAAAAAAAAGTATAAAGTATATGATGACAATAGTTGAAAGAGTTATCAGCACTTAAAAAGAGGATAATAAATCTTGACAAAGAGAAGGTGGATGAGATAAAGAAGAAAACGATGGCAAAGAACATTTAAATGAATGATTTCTTTAACATATTGTATGGCTTGAAGGGTTATTTCGATGAAGAAAAGTGTAAATTAAAGATGATAGAGGGGATATTGTGGTCAAGATGGGGATCTACATGACAACAAAGCTTTGATATCTCGCTTCATATGCAATTTTGGATGTCAGCATGTAGGCTCTTTATACGAAGACCATAAGTCATATCAATTTTGTGATAGTAAGACAATAAAATTCTTAGGTATAGAAATCCAAGAAGAGTTAACAATTATAGAGATGATAATAAACCAATAGAGGAGCTAAAATTCTCTTGACTAAAATTATACATGTCAATGCTAAGAGGCAGAGGGCAATGATAAGTTATAATAACTCAAATATATGAAATAAATTTTCTTGAAAATAAAAATTCTGAAATAGAGCACTTTACCGCTGATCTGATGAGCATTGCGACGTTATAAAACAAATGGTATATATATATATCCTTGCCTCACCCATTGACTCCCTCACTTGATTGCTTAGCTAGGAAAATTTTGAAAGAGTCGAAGAGGAGAGATGAGAGAGAAAAATATTTAGATCATATTTATTTGTCATTCCTTTTAGTGATTTTGCTCTATTCATTATAAGTGATTAAGCTCTTACATTTTTTTTCAATGATTTTGATTTCTACGGATTTTATCTCTCCTAAATCTGTCAAAAATGCATTATCTCATGGTTTCATAAGTTTTTATCGTGCAAGTTTAGATGTATTATGAATTTGATCATTCTAAATGATTTGATATAATTTTATTATATTTTAAATGAAATGCTTAATGATATCAAGTATATGACATGATAACTCAATGTGATACCCTACTAATCCAGATGATTCACTGATTGAGAGTTATAAGGAGCTGGAGATTGATTAATTGGGAGTTATAAGGAGTCAGGACAACCGATTCAAGTGATTCAATGGGAGTTATAACGAGTACATTAATTGAGAGTTATAAAGGTAGAATTATTAAGTGATAAGTGCAGAAGCAAGACAAACTTAAGATATGTTCATTGAATATTTGAATATTGATACCGACACTTCTACAAATATTGTACTTATATTTTGACTGACATTAATATTATTTTCTATCATTATCACTATTTGATGTTATTTGTTAATACTATTGATTGTTACTGTGACTGATAATGCAATTGATTGAGATAGGAAGAATCATATAAGATAAATTAATACACATAATCAGTATAAATATTGATACATATACTTCTTTATATGATTTATAGCATAGTATTCTCTTTTATCTTATATTGATTTTAGTTGTAAGATTTTTGTTTCTTGTTGGGCTATGTGCTCACTTCGTGATTTTATATATTTTCAGGAAAAGAATAAAAATCATATGAAATGAGGCTTCGGACAAAACAAAAATACAATCACATTTCTTTCTATTATTTATTGGTAAGCCTACTTAAATGAATAAAATGAAAGGCATATATAATTTTTCTGATATTGATCCTAGAGTATGACAAAATGATAATAGAGCAATGGTTATTTAAAGAATTTAAATATAACTAGAGCTTATGAGCGAAATATAAATGTAATTATCGATTTATAATTAGTTGATTTGAGTATAAAATTTTGTTTTGAGCATGCTCTCTCTCTTTAACTGATATAGAAATGTCGATAATGATATTTTTCGAAGCTAGGGAGATTGTAATAACTTAAATATGTGAAATAAGATTTCTTGAAAAAATATAAAAATTTTGAAGTAAAGCGCAATTAGGGGATCTGACGTTCTGATCAAACCATCGCTCGAACACTATTATTGAAACACTATCCAACCTTTGACCAACGTCGTCTGGCTATGGGTCAAACATCATAATTTTTTTTCTTTTTCTGAATTGAAGGAAAAAGAGTTATATAAAGTGTGGCTTTAGAAAAATAAGGAGCAAACTTTTGTAGAGAAGAGGGAGAATATAATATATGGATTATATTAAAATTATTCTTGATTTTTAATTTTATATATCAATCAAAATTTTTTTAATGGAGCATTGTATTTCCATACCTACTCTGTTAGGTATTGGTTCATCTTTAGATTAGTGTTATTCTTTAAGACATCACACCAATATAAAATCTATATATATAGAGTTATATGTGATGTATTATATGGGGAAAAGAAAATAATATTCTGTTTATTCTCCATTTTTTTTGTCCCTCTTCACTCCCTCTCTCCTTTTACTTTGAAGAAAGACATCTTCATCGAAGATCCCAACAAATTGATATCAGAGCCAGGTGGAGGTGATCGCTAAGGAGGAAGGTTGTAATCTAGAAAGGAAAAAAGGGGGCAAGAGGTTCCCATATATAGGAGATAAATTTGCACGAGCAGGCGGAACATGTGTGTGGTGAATGGAAGTCAGAGGAGGGCCACGCAGAAGTTGTAGCTTGCAGGGAATGAGTCAAGTTTGTCGGGATCACGGGAGAGGGCTTAAGCATGCAGCGGGAGGTGGGTGCACTGCTCGGGTGCACTCAGGAGCTGGTCATGTGTCTAGGATGGTTGCGTAGACTTGCGTGATTGGGCTAGGAGAATGTATGAGTGGGCACTGAACGAGGGCTGTATTGGGCATACACGCGGTGCTTGGGTCGGACACATGCGGGGAGAAAATTTAGACTGTGTGCGCGAGGTTAGGAGCTTGTTCGTGCCCTCGATGTGGACGGATAGTCGGTGGAGAGAGACCTTTTGATGCTAGCAGGGGAACCGAGTCGGAGAGGGCCGCCTTTTAGAAATTAGGGTCGTAATAAAAAAATGGATCGACAGATAGGAACCGCGGGATTTCTACACGCAGCATAAGAGATAGGTTGTGAAACCCTTTAAACTTTAAAGATTTTTTTGGTCAACTTTGAGAAGTTCGTCCAGTACGAACTGAGTTTGTCTGGGACGAATAGTTAGAATTTCAATTTTGTCAGTACAAATCGTTTGGATGAATTGAACGAGAATAGAACAAAGGCGTTCGTCCCTATATGAAATTAAATATCGTATGTACGATCTTCGTCCGAGGATAAAAAAGAGAAGTTCGTCCTGATACGAACATAAATATCATCCCATACGATCAAAAATATCTAATCCCATTATTTAATTCTCCATTTGCTCAGTTTAGAGAATAAGAGAGGGAAAGAGAATGAGAGAGAAAAAGAGAAAGAGAGAGAAGAGGAAATCCGTATTTGGGCAACTTCAAGCCGTTATCGTCCGTCGACGCAGTTTGGAATGTTGTTCGACTCGAGGTAATACATATTATGCCTATCTCAATTTCAAAAAATGTGAAAATTTTGATGAATATTTCGATCAAAATTTTGTATCCATTAGAGAAAAACATGGATAATTTTGCACCGGTAAAACTTTCACCCCATAACTTTTTATATGTCATAGAGATTATGATTATGCACATTTTGAATATTTTCTGAAAAATTTTCACTATGTATTCTGAAATTTGAGGGATTTTTAATGAATATAAAATTTTTGGGATGTCGAAAAATAGTGTAATAGTACAATAAAAGTCTTAAAACATTGTTCTACATAATCCCTAATAATCTGATAATTTTTTGAAACTGTACATTTTTTCCTCGTTGGATTTTCTCTTGTTTACCATTATATAATATGGTGATATTTTTATACATGCTCAATTACTCTGTAATTGTTATAATGTAATGATATATATGCACATGTGATCAAATGATATTTATTGGGAGTTATAAGAGGTCAGAATCCTTTGATATTTTATTTGGGTCATTGAAATGTGATTTAAATAAATATGTGTACCTCATATGTTCTGGTGCTGTAAGCACAAATAAAAAGGGAGTCATAAGGGGCTAAAATCCTTTA